TCACATTGTTGGCTCATGTTTAACTTGTTATCCACGAGGACTCCAAGATATTTTTCACACGTACTGCTCTCACGTCAGGCATTGTCCCCCATTCAAATCAAATCAAATCATTTATTTCGGTCATTGACCAGCACAGAAAATAGTTACATTTCCATACAAACTTGGTATGTTTGGTACACTAAAAATATAAATATAACTCCTGAAGCACAGTATGGGTGAGGGAGCAGAAGGGAAGGGGAAACAGGGTAAAAACATACAATGCCCAGATCCATCACCAAATTGTAGATTCAGAGAAGAAGATTACTGGACACACAGTTAACTTTTGGGACTAGTCATTCCCTGACGGATTTTGTATGCTGCTGCACAGAACTTTGTAGGTTGTAGCTGAATTAATACTGCTCTCACTCCAGGCGTCCCCCATTCTATATCTTTGCATTTCGTTGTTTCTGCCTAAGTGGAGTATCTTGCATTTGTCCCTGTTGAACTTCATTTTGTTAGTTTTGGCCCATCTCTCTAATCTGTCAAGATCGTTTTGAATCCTGCTCCTGTCCTCTGGAGTATTGGCTCTCCCTCCCAATTTGGTGTCATCTGCAAACTTGATGATCCTGCCTTCTAACCCTTCATCTAAGTCATTAATCAAGATCCTGAACAGGACCGGGCCCAGGAAGGAACCCTGCGGCACTCCGCTCGTCACTTCTTTCCAGGATGAAGAGGAAGCATTGGGGAGAAGCACCCTCTGGGTTCGTCCACTTAACCAATTACAGATCCACCTCACCGTAGTTTTGCCTAGCCCACATTGGACTAGTTTCCTTGCCAGAAGGTCATGGGGGACCTTGTCGAAGGCCTTACTGAAATCCAGGTACGCTCCATCCACGGCATTCCCCACATCTACCCAGCTTGTAACTCTATCAAAAACAGAGATCAGATTAGTCTGGCATGACTTGTTTTTATAGGCAATTATCAGACGTTGCCATTTGTGCTTGAATAATGTTGACTATTAACAATGACCGCATTTGTTTGTAAGTGTTTGCAGACCACTTCCTTAATAATCTTTTCCAGAATCTTGCCTGGTATCGACGTGAGGCTGACCGGACGGAGGACATTGGCCCTCCTCCAATCTGCTGGAACTTCTCCTGTTCTCCAAGAACTCTCAAAGATGATTGCCAATGGTTCCGAAATGACTTCCGCTAGTTCCTTCAATACTCTTGGGTGTAGTTGATCTTGTCCCTGTTGAACTTCATTTTGTTAGTTTTGGCCCATCTCTCTAATCTGTCAAGATCGATTTGAATCCTGCTCCTGTCCTCTGGAGTATTGGCTATCCCTCCCAATTTGGTGTCATCTTGAAACTTGATGATCATGCCTTTTAGCCCTTCATCTAAGTCATTAATAAAGATGTTGAACAGGACCGGGCCCAGGACGGAACCTTGCGGCACTCCACTCGTCACTTCTTTCCAGGATGAAAATATTCCCATCCAACCCCAAGTAACGAAGGTGGAGGCATTACTTTTCATTCAACCCTTGTAGTAGTGAGCATTTTGACAGTACTGGGTTCAAAACAAAAAGTAAATTTCATGAAGGAATCCGTCTCTAGCTTGCCCATGCAGAAACTGTTTATAAAGCTCATCTGATAATCCAGAATCAAGACTTCCCAACTGCTAGACCTTTATTTCCTGTTTCAAAGGCATTTCCAAAATGTCGGCAGCTTTGCGATCAGAACAATTGTGGTCTTTTATTCTCTAGCCAGATTTGGCAGAGATAAAATTGTCATCCTGCTCATATATTCTCATCTCACAACTTCATACTTTGCCAGAAATCTGGTTAGATTGTTCTCTTTGGGATTAATACAGTGACCATCTGCCCTTCCTATCCCTGGAACTGAAGAAATCTTGCCTGCTCTGAACAGTTTGCACAGCATGAATGTCTGCTGCTTGATGGAACCCAGTACATTCGACAGTAAATTAAAAACAGTTATTTCAGATAGTACAGAATGATATGCGTGCTTCCCAGTTCTGTGATGCAAGGCCATACA